TTAGGGGGTTTAGGGGGTTTAGTGGGTTTAGGGGGTTTAGGGTTTCTTGTGAGGGCTCTGTAGGGCTGCTATGCTATCAGGGGGCTCTAGAACTTTAGAATCTGTGGGCTTCTGGAGCGGTCTAGGCCGTCAGACTGCGATGGCTTTTGAGTTTAGGGTTGCGGACTTCAGGTTACCAGGGCCTAGGAGGTTTAGGGTTTAGACCAAGAAGTTCCCAAACCCGCGCCCCAGAACTCCCAAATCCTGGACCAAGGTCTTGAGGGGTTCTGTGGTACTTGAGCCTGCAGAGCGAACGCTTCCAGAAGATGGAAAGTTCTGAATGAGTCAAGGGCCAGAGAGATCCGTAAACTTCAAATTATAGCTTTTAACATCAAACCCGGTAATACAGGAACCGATCTGTACGTACATCATTGAGAAACCACCGCAAAATCCTTTGACATCTAAACCCTACACCTCCGAAAAAATCTTTTGTGTCACTGTTGTAAGTACCTTGCGCTCTTCTCGAGCTCACTCACACTAGAGACCTTAATGCCTATGTTATTTTGGGGGTTCCTTATCCTAATTGTAGTATAATATCCCCCCAAACCCTGTTAATGAATACCATCGAAAGAGTCACAGGCCTTGGAGCTCGAAAAGGCATGCGCAGGCTTTATTACCACACACAACAAAAGGGGTCCATAGCTAAAGCCTCCACCCTCAACCCCCGAAGTAACCCGAAGGCTGAAAGCTATAAAAGCCCAAAAGGGGTTCAGGGCGGCTTTGAGTGTTTAGGGCTTTTGAGGTTTGAGCATTGATGCGCCACGCCTTCACCATCTTTGGACGCACCCGTGAACGCTACCGTCAGTCCGCGCTGCCGCCACTCCTGCCGACGACTGCCAGAAGCCGAAGGCGAGCCGTATTCATAACATACTACGACTATAGCATTCAAGCTGGTGACTACTATCATATTGCATCCAAGGCCGTACCCCCTAAGCTGGAGCTCGGCAGCCTTGGGGAATTTGGTTTCGGGGAACAATCACACAAGAGCAGCTGTCACGTCCTGAAGCAGCGACCAAACCTGCCGCGGGCGCTTCGAAGTAGAACCTAATGGCCTAGTATAGGGGCCTTGACAGTTAAAGCTTCGGGCCGAAGTTACAAACAGGAACCCACACATGGTCTTGGCAACTGTTTGATTTAGGCGACTAATTTATACAACATGATAAGCTACGGAGGTGCACTACGCCTTTTTTATATGCGAGCAGATGTTCGTAAATGGTCGTATGCTCCGGATCCCAAACAGTATCCACTGGCACGTGTCACTATGCAACGCAGCGGAGCAGTACATGTGTAAGAGGTTACGTCCTTCAAACAACAGACAGGCACAACTTCGCACATTACGCCCTAAGCCCTAAACCCTAAACCCAGTATGTAAACATATGGGTAGTTGTCAAAATTAAGGTCCCTTTGGGGGTACCCTAAACAATAGGTGCCGTATTGCAATAAGGACCCAAAAAGGGGCCATAATTTTGACAACCACCCATATACACCATTGCGCACCATGGCGAACAGGACTGTATCATGATGCGAAATGGCATATCAAAGTATGGTGGGTAGATCTGATACATGTACTACATCTCGAAGAGCATCTAAGTAAATTTAAGTATCCTACTTCATGAATAGGAGTACAGAACAGTAAACACGAGTTCGTGCTTTTCTGGCTGCCCTGAACTAGATGAAATTAGCTCAGTTCTTGTACTGCGTTGTGTCAATTGAGGGGCGGCCGAGCATTCACAGTCAAGATAGAGGGTTTAGGGTTTTGGGCTGTTCCGAAATTGCAAGGTACAATATGAAAAAGATTCCGAATCCTCCGACATCCCGACACATGTTGCAACATGGAACTATGGAGTGCTGACATGTCGCAACTTTACAATGCCAGGGCTCTGCAGCTCGAGCCCAACATCAGCTTTCGTAGCAGCCCAAGCCTAAACATCCCGCCTAAAAAGCCTCGACTCTTACAACCCTAAACCCTAAACCCTAAAACCCTAAACCCTAAACCCTAAACCCTAAACCCCAACCCCTAAACCACTCTGCTGCTTTGCGTCAGCTGACAGAGAAAACCCTACCCTTTTCAACTCTTGAAGCCAGGACTCCCACAACCCGGGACTCCCAAACCCAAGTTAGGTTCCCTAAACCCTAAACCCCTATACCCTAAACCCCTATACCCCCAAACCCCTAAACTCTAAACCCCTAAACCCTAAACCCCTAAGCCCCTAAACTCTAAACATCTAAGCCCAAAGCCCCTAAACCCTAAACTATAACTCCCGACCTACATCTCCGAAGTACGATGCCGACCTTCTGTTCGTGCTCCACAGGATTGTTCTCCAGCGTCTTGCCGTTCGCCTCGGGCAAAGGGTTCTGCAGTTTTGAGGGTTTCATAGAGCTTCATAGTATAATAATAGGGCCTTCATTATCAGAATAGGGTTTTTGGGGGGGGTATATACTACTGTAACCACAACAAGGAACACCCTAAAGTCGTCTTGGTAACTGTTCAGGCCCCTTTCGTACGGTTTTTCGGGGTTTTGGGTTTCGGGTTGAGGGAGCTTTGGGTTCAGGTTTGCCGATGCCCGGCTTTGGGCTTGCGATCATTGTAGGTTGCTCTTTATAGTAATGTAGAAGCCTAATAATTTAAAACAGTGGTTTTGGGGCCCAGTATACTATATTTATAATAAGGACCCCAAGGAAAAGTGTAGGTAATTACTTAGGCTTCTATAGTAGTAGACTCCAAAAGTTGGAAACCGGAGTAAGGACAATTAGTGCCGGGATTCCCTATACATTCCTCTTAAGGATTGAGGCCATTGGGTTTCCAACTGTTCGGCTTCTACTGTAAGGGCACACCGGGAGAATCTCCATAGATGGAGGTTCAAAGATGTACCCCCGATCTGCCACCTAGCATGGAGCATCAAGGACGATTAAGCTTGATGGGCTTGGGTCGAAGAAGTTAAGGCTCAGAGCAGTGGATTTTAGAGTTTGGCTTCTTCTGGTGCTGGGCTGATGGTTGTTTAGGGTCTTGGAACGTCGGCTGGACACAACCTTAAGCCTTTAACCCGTAGACCCCAGACGGTCCTTGACCCCAAAGTAACGGAACTGCGTAAGAAGCCGCACCGTTGTTCCACGAAACACCTACTACTACTGTGCAAACCTAAACCCTAAACACTACACCCTAAACCTTAAACCCTAAACCCTAAACCTTAAACCCTAAACCCTAAACCCTACACCCTAAACCCTAAACCCTGAACCCAAGCCTCGGTTTCCGAGCTGAGGTTCGGAGTTGAGGTTTAAAGTTTGGGGTCTAGGACTTACGTCTTCTTCTGGGGGTTCGGGGTTTGAAGTTATGGTTTGAGATTTTGGGGCGATCTGGGTCCAGACTAAACTAAAAGGCCCGTACTCCACCCTTAAAAGATCTCTATGAAGTAAGGAAATGCGAAAAAACACAAAAAAGAGAACTCCTATAAAACCCTAAAAGGAACACTCAGATACAGCAGAGTTGCCAGGTACTTGGCATACGGCGTGTGGACGGCGACCACCTTCCCTGCTTAAGAAGAAGCGGGGTGCTGGGCTGTGTCGGTAGAGCGTTCCTCTCAACTCTAAGGCCCGGGCCTTAATAATTACTTGTAGTAGCCTTATTATAACTATGGTCTAGAGTACCCCAGCAAACCCCTATTCTAATTCTTAAGGCCTCGATACTATGCCTCAAGGCTTTCCTGGTATAAGCCGGCTCACTGGGTTCTGCGTGGAGCTTTTGGGGGCTCTGGGGGCCTCGGACTTTCGAGGGAAGCTGAGCTTTCCAGAAGCAAACCGACTCTGAGCCCCAACCAACTAAATGCCGGGTTTAGGGTTTAGGGTTTAGGGTTTCGGGTTTCGGGATTCGGGATTCGGGTTTAGGGTTTAGGGTTTAGGGTTTAGGGTTTCGGGATTCGGGATTCGGGATTCGGGTTTAGGGTTTAGGGTTTAGGGTTTAGGGTTTCGGGATTCGGGTTTAGGGTTTAGGGTTTAGAGTTTAGGGGAGCCCAATGCCC